CACACACACACAAGCACAGGCTGACACAGAGAGGGACACATAAATCTGCATGTCAACACATAGGCCATGTGTCCAGCAGCAGGGTTAATGTTAGCAGAATAGATGCTGACTCTTTGACCGAAACCACTGAGGAGGCTTTACCGCAGACTTTATTCCAACACACTCACACTCAAACAGAGGGATGAGATTTGCATGAAATACATGTTTAATCTCCTTACTTCTGGCAGGAAAAGTAAAATATGATAAAAACTAATTATACAAATGACAAAATGTACTATGAAATGAAGACAGTCTCTCCTGGGAAAAACAGGTCTCTAGATATAAAAGAATCTTCACAGACAGACACAACAAAAACAAACACACAATGGTAAGAAAGACCACAAATACAGCATGCACGCAACACAAAAGTTCCCCGGAGTTTCTTGCAAGATGAAAAAAAAAAAAAAAACAGACACCAAGCGCCAAAAAATGAAAGAAAACCGTTTAACTTTGACACTGTGTTCTCAACTTGGTTCTAAAAAGTGAGTGCTGCCATTTGCTCTGCCGTTCCACTTTGATCATGACTCGCTCCCCATTTTCAAACGCTGTGACATTTGAAAAACACAATCCCACTTTGGTGTCCTATTATCGCTGGAAGGAGGATACAGGGAAATAACAGGTCCAACACTGCCCACCTGCAGCACATCACATCTTCTCTCCCCAAGAAATGACGGTGACCAAAAAATAGGCATCCTACTGTCACAATCTGCCCGTCGGACTGTGGCGATGGGAAGTCCATATTTGGTCACCGTTTCTCGTTTTCTTACACTGAGGCACTGTTAGCGGCTATTACTGAGGAAGATGAGGGGAGCCAAAGGACACAGCGTTTATTTATGTTTTTAATGATGAGAGACAAGAAGAAAGAGAAAAAGGGACAGAAAAATGACAGAAATGCTTTACCTCCCACAGAGCTTTATCTCTCCAATGGCCCCTTGACGGGGGACAAATTGATCCTGGAAATAAGGGGTCATTTCCTCTGCCTGTTTACCTGTTCACAGCACACTGTCATCAGTTTGAAACACACACACAAAAGCTGACCCAGCTGTACCCTCAGAGCCAATGCGAGAGAGGGTTGAGTCATTACGGGCTTCACTGTGACAACAAGCAAGAAACTGGTGTACTGGTGTATGTGTGTGTGTTAGCTTCCCCAAAAGCAGTGACCATGATGACCTTTGACCCTTTGAACTTTGAACCAAAAAAACATTTTCCGTCTCTCTCTCTCTCTCTCTCTCTCTCTCTCGCTCTCTCTCTGTGTCAAAAGCAGAAAACCATCATCCATAAAATCTAATTTTTAAACAGCCTATCAGACAAATAACTTTTGCTGGAGTGTGTCCTGTGTTCATATTAGTGTGTGTGTGTGTGTG